TTCTCAAACACCACCACCACCACCACCACCAAACCCCCCAAAATATGGAGACTGTGGATTGGCTGGACCTAAATAGTCTGGGCAGCTTGGGGCAGGGGGAATGGGTCATAGGTGGATTCAAAGATTTTCTGATTTGTAATTGGTTAAGGAAGAGAAGCCCTGTCTAAACATTTGGGATCATCAGAAAAGAACATTAGCTCCGGCTCGTGGGCATGGCCTCCTCCAGGCCCCTCAGGAAGAACTGAGTGGTGGACAGAGGTTAGTCCCTGGCTCCCCCTTACCTGCGGTCTATGTGCCAGGGGCGTCTGGGTTTCTGAAAAATCACATAATTTAGTAGGTTATCTATCTCTGGTTTCCACAGGGAATATCCCATGACTGGAGCTTCCTTGGCTGTTGATTTAGGCCGCTGCTACCTTCTTGCTTATCAATTTCTTATTTGTTTCTCAGGGAGAGCTAGGTGCCTGGAAGTTCCCTTGAAGGAATTCAAGATTTTCCTTTATTTCCATACCTGGGGGGTGCCTAGCAGGCTGATAAGAGAAGTCCTTGCCCGCTCTCAAGGTGAGTGAGTGATGACCTCATAGCTTCCTTAACCATGGGTGCCTGGTTTTGCATTATCCAATTTTCAGGCAAGATGTGCCAGCCTCCATGTGTGTTCCTCTGTTGATTGTCCTTGCGGTCTTTGTCACCCTGTCTTGGTTATTTTATTTATTTATTTCATTTTTTTTTGAGATGGAGTTTCACTCTTGTTGCTGAGGCTGGAGTGCAATGGTACAATCTTGGCTCACTGCAACCTCCACCTCCCAGGTCCAAACGATTCTTCTGCCTCAGTCTCCTGAGTAGCTGGGATTACAGGCATGCGCCACCACGCCTGGCTAATTTTGTATTTCTAGTAGAGACGGGGGTTTCTCCATATTGGTCAGGCTGGTCTGGAACTCCTGACCTCAGGTGATCTGCCTGCCTTGGCCTCCCAGAGTGCTGGGATTACAGGTGTGAGCCACTGCACCTGGCCTCCTTGGGTATTTAAAAAAATTGCTCACTCCCCATCACCTACTAGAACATGGGGCTTGTGTGGGCAGGATCTTGTTTGCTTTGCTGGCTAGGTCAGCAATGCCTGGAATGGGGCCTGATACAAAGTCAGTCAGTGCTCTAGAAATAGTTCATGAATGAACAGCAGCTGATGGTTCGCAGACACTTGCAATGTGTGATCACCTCACCTGTAGCAGCTCATTTAATTCTCACAACAACCTTGCAAGGCAGGTACTATATATATATTTTTTCCTGGCTCTGCCTCCTTTATTGAGGACGCTCAGCCTCAGTCTTCTCCCAAGGTAGGTACTATTCTTGTCTCCATTTGACAGGTGGGAAAACTGAGGCATAGAGTGGTCTGTAACTTGCCTAAGGTCATACGGCTAATAAACAGTGAAGCTGAGATTCGAACCTGAGTAGTCTGGCCCTAGAGTGGGGATTCTCACCCTCGGCATGATTGACATTTTGGGCTGGATACATCTTTGTGGTGGGGGCTGTCCTGTGCATTGTGGGCTATTTAGCAGCATCTCTGGTCTTTACCTAGCAGATGTGAGTATCACCCGGCCTCCCAAACCATGACCACCAAGAACGTGTCCAGACTCTGAGGCGAGGAGCAAAATCACCCTGTTGGCAATTGCTGGAGTCTTGCTCTGTTGCCGATGCTGGAGTGCAGTGGTGTGATCTTGGCTCACTGCAGCCTCCACCTCTGGGTTTCAAGCCATTCTCCTGCCTCAGCCTCCTGAGTAGCTGGGATTACAAGTGCCTGCCATCATGCCCAGCTAATTTTTGTATTTTTAGTAGAGATGGGTTTTCACCATATTGGCCAGCCTGGTCTTGAACTCCTGATGTCAAGTGATCTGCCCGCCTAGGCTGGGATTACAGGCATGAGCCACTGCACCCAGCCTGCTCTAGAATTTTTAATTACTCCACCACGCTGCCTTGCTATGTTGAATAGATGAAGAAATGCTTGCGTTCCAATGTGATGCATTCATTGCCCCAGCGTCTGCTTGTGGGGACAGAGGCAGAAACCTCCCTCCTGAGCCTGGAAGGCCACAGTCCCCGACTGTGCTTTTCTTTTCTTTTCTTTTTTTTTTTTTGAGATGGAGTTTTGCTCTTGTTACCCAGGCTGGAGTGCAATGGCGTGATCTCGGCTCACCGCAACCTCCGCCTCCTGGGTTCAGGCAATTCTCCTGCCTCAGCCTCCTGAGTAGCTGGGATTACAGGCATGTGCCACCATGCCCAGCTAATTTTTTGTATTTTTAGTAGAGACGGGGTTTCACCATGTTGACCAGGATGGTCTCGATCTCTTGACCTCGTGATCTACCCGCCTCGGCCTCCCAAAGTGCTGGGATTACAGGCTTGAGCCACCGTGCCCAGCCCCCCGACTGTGCTTTTCACCTTCAGTGATGAGGAAGGGCACAGAGGTAAGAGCAGCAAGTTCAGCACATGCCTTGATGGCTGGCCCTTGCCGCGGCAGACTGCCAGGCACTCTCCCAGACATGGAGAGAAAGAAAAATCTTGATTTCCTTGAAGAGAAATTCCAGGTACCTAGTTTGCCCTGAGAAGTAAATGAGCAACTTGATAAACAAGAAAATAACAGTCTCTTAAAACACAGGTTAGCCAAGGAAGTACAGTGTGATACCAATGATCATAAAGTGTACCTGGAATGTTCCCTATGGAAACTGAAGATAACATCTTAACGTATGTCCCTGAGTTGTTTTACAGAAACCTGGACCCCACCAAATGCACCCGCTGGCATGTAGAACTGAACTCTGACTGCAGATTGGTTCTAAATTTTTTCCTGAGGGGCCTGGAGGAGGCCATGCCCACAAGCCAGAGCTAACATTTTTTTCTGCTGATCTCAAATTTTTAGACAAAGCTTTTCTTCCTTAACCAATTACAAATCAGAAAATCTTTAAAACATTTATTTCTTCTTATTTATTTATTTATGTTGAGATAGAGTCTCACACTGTCACCCAGATTGGAGGGCAGTGGTGAGATCTCGGCTCACTGCAACCTCCGCCTCCCGGTTTCAAGCAATTCTTGTGCCTCAGCCTCCTGAGTAGCTGCGATTACAGGTGTGCCCCACCACGCCCAGCTAATTTTTTGTATTTTTAGTAGAGAAGGGGTTTTGTCATGTTGCCCAGGCTGGTCTTGAACTACTGAGCTAAGGCGATCCTCCCACCTCAGCCTGCCAAAGTGCTGGCATTACAGGTGTGAGCCACTGCACCTGGCCCAGAAAATCTTTGAGTTCACCTATGACTGGTGCACAGCACCCCTTCAAGATGTCCCACCTATATACATCAAACCAATGTATAGCCTTGGCTGAGCTCAGGAAGCAGGTAAAGCTGGCAGTCAGAAGGATCTAGAATCTTCTCCCTGGAGATCCCTTCTTTCTCCACTTGAAATCACCGTCAGGTCCCAGCACAGGGTAGGGCTGGGATGAAAACACCCGGAGGAAACTGAAAGCAGTTACGGAGCCAGCTGGCTGCGGGTCCCAGGGTGGTGCTTCGGGAGCTCTGGGGTGGGTTGTGCCCTGCAGTGGGCCTCATGTCTGTGCTGAGGGTGGTGTTCCTGCTGGGTAAGGAACAAATGCTCATCAAATACTCCTTGAGAGAACAAATAAAACCCATCAAAACTTGCTGTTCACCCTGAGATAGAATAGATTTATTAGCAAGAGGTAATCAGGAAACATGTATTTTTACAAAAATGGAAATTTTTTTTCCAAACAAGCTGTAAGTTGAAATATTTTAGGACTTGAAATAGAATTCTCATACCACTAGGTATTGCTTACAGCAAAAGCTGTCTGTTGTAGTGGAGCATGCCTGCCACTTCGGAGTTAACCTGTGTTTTCTATAATGTACAATGTAAAAAATACATGGTAATATTCACAGAATAAGCACTACATTACTATATTCCTGCTAGAAGGCATTTAGACAGGACTACAGTATATGCAATAAAAACACTTGGTAATTGATCTCCTAATTCTACAGTGTGGTACTAATTATCACAAGGTGTACAGACTTAGAGCATCTCAATGTAAGCTTGTAGTGACCGTTAGGCAGCTTAAAGAGGAAAAGTGACTTTTTGTGTTCCCGACTTCCAGTGAATGCTGGGCCAATGGTCAGCCAAAGTCGACGTGGCTTTTGTTTGTGACTCCATTTCCTCGGGAAGTTCTAGGGCCTCGTCCAGTTGTATTGAGACTGCTATTCATGCTATCTGGTGTTAATCCTAGGGCGAGGAGCAACCTGGGGCCTGAAGGAGATGGCAGCATTGGTACGAAGGGTGTGGTTCTGAGCAGAGAGGACTCCCTTCCGTCCAGGTTACTGGGAGACAGAGGGGGACTTTTGAGACCTGCGATTTTGGCTGGAGAAGCTGCTTTGGAAATTGACATCACCATCAGCGGGAAGATTCGTCAATGACTGGACTTAGGGGTATGGTTTCCCCCTCCCGCCGCCCCCACCCCCCACCCAGTTATAACAACTACGTGGAACATGCTGGGAGGATGCCTGGGTGGCCACCTCAACCCAGGAGCCTGGGCTGGGGAGGGACGGAAGCAGGACTGGAGTCTAAGATTCTTGTATGCGAGAGTGCCGTCTCCCCTCTTAGAAGAGTGATGAGTCTAGGGAAGAAGGACCGAGAGTACAGCTGTTTAAAAGAAACAGGCACTGCGGGAGACAGGAGGGACGGGTGGGCAAAGTCCGAAACGGTGCAGAAATTCATATTCCGGCTCTACAGGAATCTAAGAACAAGGACGATTTGTATTCTTAGAGAAGCACATATTGAAGAAGAAAATCCAGTGAAACCAAACGAATATGTACAATATCATCTAGCATGTGTCCCCGGGAGCAGCTGGGTTGGGCTGAGCACAGCTTCAGGTGGGGAGTTTTGGTTCTATTCGGAGGGAAGACTCGTAGAGGCTTTCTTCATCCATTACAAAAGACTGGTCCAGTAAATACTGCGTTACCTGAGAAAAGAAAAAAAATGAGAAAAGGGGATGGGAGGGTTGTAGGATCTCCCTAATACTGACTGTGGACGTCCTTTATCTCTTAGAACCCCAGACTCTTACTGGGGAGCGTCAGGTGGGCACATGAGGCAAAAATGCATTTGATAGTGTTCCATCTTGACATAGTTTTAAGTAGTTGATATAAGTATTGTCTTAGGATTATTATTTAATATCATCATAATATCAAGGTTGGTGCAAAAGTAAAAAAAGTCAATTTTAGAAACTAGGTGGCGGATGTATGTGTTCACAATTCTGTCGGTGTTTCTGTATGTTTGAAAAGTTTCATAAGGCTGGGCATGGTGACTCATGCCTCGAATCCCAGCACTTCGGGAGGCTGAGACAGGAGGATCCTGGGCTTGAGCCCAGGAGTTTGAAACCAGCTTGGGCAACAAAGTGAGACCTTGTTTCTACAAAAAATAAAAAAAGTAGCTTGGTATTGTGTTTCATACCTGGTTCCAGTTACGTGGGAGGCTGAGAAAGGAGGATCACTTGAGGTCAAGGCTGCAGTGAGCTGTGTTCACACCACTGTACCCCAGCTTGGGTACAGACCTTGTCTTAAAAATAAAATAGTCCAGGCGTGTGGCTCACTCCTGTAATTGCAGCACTTTGGGAAGCCGAGGTGGGCAGATCACGAGGTCAGGAGTTTGAGACCAGCCTGGCCAACATGGTGAAACCTGTCTCTACTAAAAATACAAAAATTAGCCAGGCATGGTGGTGGGCAGCTGTAATCCCAGCTCCTTGGGAGGCTGAGGCAGGAGAATCACTGGAACCCAGGAGGCGGAGGTTGCAGAGAGCTGAGACTGTGCCATTGCAGTCCAGCCTGGGTGACAGAGTGAGACTCCTCTCAAAATAAAATAAAATAAAATAAAAAATAAAAAGTTTTATAATAAAATATTGGGACAAAATATATTTAAACACTAGGATTACACAGTACTGTGAGAGATTTACTCCAAGAGAGGTGAGTGGACATGGAGGCTGCATGTGAGAAGAGCCTCCTTTTTTCTGGCTGTACATGGCTCACCTTGGGGAGAAAGATGCAATCACATGATTTAGGCCATCCTCTCTTCTCCTCTCTGCCCACCCCACTCCTGCTCTGAAGCATTTGCTGAATGCCTGCCCATTAAATGTGCCATGAGAGATCCGAGCTCTAACCTCCCAGGAACCCCTGCTCCAAAAACTATCTTTCCAAGACTTATTTATTTGTCAGTTGTTTGCAACTGAATGCACATTTCCCCCCTACATACATCCAGAACAGAAAGAACAAAATTTTCTTTTCTGTTCGAGACAGCATCTTGCTCTGTCGCCCTGTCTGGAGTGCAGTGGTGCAATCGGGACTCAATGCAACCTCTGCCTCCCGGGTTCAGGCAATTCTCCTGCCTGAGCCTCCTGGATAGCTGGGATCACAGGCATGCACCACCACGTCTGGCTAATTTTTGTATTTTTAGTAGACATGGGGTTTTGTCATGTTGGCCAGGCTGGTCTTGAAGTCCTGCCCTTCAAGTGATCTGCCTGCCTTGGCCTCTCAAAGTGCTGGGATTATAGGTGTGAGCCACTGCGCCTGGCCAAATTTTCTTATGATGTGTTTGGGAATCTTCTGATAGCTGCTTGAGAAAAATCCAGTCTGCTGCTTTTGTCTTGGCTGATTGACTCTGCTACTGTAAAGGATGAAACCAGCTGTCTGCTATGCTGATTAATAGTCACAGATAAAGTGATTACTATGTCTGATTAGCATTATACCCATGACTTCTGGGAAGATGACTTTAGGTATCACAGTCTGGTTTGACCTACACCTGTTGATAAAGAAATGGCAATTTTATGACTGTGTGAAATAGTCTTTTATACCTAGATAATAGCGTCACGTGAACAGTCCTTTCTAGAACACATGAATCTCTACCTCCTAAGCCTTCTGGGGATCAACAAACTGATTAGTTTCCTCCATAGTGAGCATGTGCAGGATCAACTTTAGTAGAGACGGGTTTCATCATGTGACAGGCTGGTGTCGATCTCCTGACCTGAGTTGGCTAAGTCAGGCTAATTTTCCTAAGACATAGTACTTTCGAGGGAGACTGGCAGCATATACCACCATTGCAAAGCTGTTAATGAAAGAAGTCTCATTAACATCTATCTATCTATCTATCTATCTATCTATCTATCTATCTATCTATCTATCTATCTATTATATCTATCTATCTATCTATCTATCTATCTATCTATCTATCTATCTATCTAGAGGTAGAGTTTCACTCTTGTCACCCAGGGTTGGAGTGCAGTGGCACAATCTCGGCTCACTGCAATCACTGCCTCCTGAGGTCAAGAAATTCTGCCTCAGCCTCCAGAGTAGCTGGGATTACAGGTGCGTGCCACCATGTCTGGCCTTTTGTATTATTGGTAGAGATGGGGATTCACCATGTTGGCCAGACTGATCTTGAACTGACTTTAGATGATTCGCCCGCCTCGTCTCCCAAAGTTCTGGGATTACAGGCATGAGCCACCGTGCCCAGCCAGTAATATTTGTTTTGTTTGTAGTGCGCATCAGAGCTTGAGGGAAGGTTTAAGGAGATAAAAGCAGGAGATGAAAAAAACCCTGAAATTTTGTTGGTAACTTCTGAGACTTTCCAGTGCTCAGTGTGGTCATGGTGCCTTCTGGTTGAGCCCTGTGTAATCCACATGGTAACTCTGTGGCTCCCAGGCTGATGAACACAGAAACACAGCCCCTCAAATACTGCTGAGTTATGTAGATACTTTTGTCTTAATATTTTTTATTGTAGAAGAAAGGATGTGACAATATAAAATACATTTTTGGAGAAAGAAGCTTGTAATCTCACCACTCTAAAATAACTTTCATTTTTTGTATGATCATCTAGTTCTTAAAATACAAAACGACTTTTCCATCATTGTACCTATGGAATGGATAGCACTTGATATGCTTTCACTTATGCTATTAGGGAAAATGTCCATAACAAAATCTCCAAAGTCACACTTTCTAGTGGCCGTAAGCCTGCACTTATTTACTGACCTCATCCTCTATTGTTGGGTATGTAAGGTATATTGGATGTGGTTTCAGGTTTTTTTTTTTTTAAACTGAGTCAGAAAATTATTTTAATAGTTGCAAAACTTTTTTTTTTTTTTTTTTTTTTACAGAATCAGTATAAAATAGCAGTTGATTTCTCCATAATTATCAGATTTATATTTGAGGTCTTGGCTAAGTGGGGCTGAAATCAACAAAAGGTCTTGGACTGTTGGCTCAGAAATCATCCTAGGAAGCCCACCCTGTTGATACTTGTCATGCTTAGCTCTTATGAGATGACCTGGTCTTTAAAAAAAAAAAGTATCTCGCTTTATTCATTCTTTGGAGGCTTGAAGTGAATTTGGCAGCATTCATTAAACACCTTCCAGCTCCTGTCATTTACCACTTCTTCAACATTCCGTTCCGACTGCATCCATTTCAACTTTGTCTGCTCTTTTCTAAATTGCTTTAATAACGTTAAATCTTCCAAATTCTTTTCTCTCTCTTCTCAGAGATTTTTTTTACTACTTCTGACGTCTGGGCTATACAATTTTTTATGACTCTGTCTCTATTGGCATGAGCTGCCATCAAAGACTCATAAAGATGTTTACAGGTTTGGCTGGCGTCAATTTTCCCTGCAAAGGAAGCTGTTGGAAACGTAGTGTTTAATTCATATACTATTTTGTCATCAATTGTCCTCATCACCTTGAGTAATTCCTGGAACTCGGCGAACTCCTCACAGTTCATACCACCACTGGGCGCCGCCATATTGGGCCTTTTTTTTTTTTTTTTTTTTGAGATGGAGTCTTGCTCTGTCGCCCAGGCTGGACTGCAGCGGCAAGATCTTGGCTCACTGCAACCTCCGCCTCCTGGGTTCAAGCAATCCTCCCACCTCAGCCTCCAGAGTAACTGGGATTACAGGCATGCACCACCATGACTGGCTAAGTTTTGCATTTTAGTAGAGATGGGGGTTCACTATGTTGGCCAGGCTGGTCGAAAACTCCTGACCTCAGGTGATCCACCCGCCTTGGCCTCCCAAAGTGTTGGGATTACAAGTGTGAGCCACCACACCTGGCCATCTTCAAAGTTTTTGCTATTTTATATATAAAATAAATGTTGCAACAAAGATCTTCTAGAATATAGCCTTTTGCCTCAACTAATTTAAAGCATTAATCCCTAGGAGAAGGATCTTTTTTACTACATTTTTTCATATTTCTTTTTTTTTTTTTTTTGAGACGGAGTTTCGCTCTTGTTACCCAGGCTGGAGTGCAATGGTACGATCTTGGCTCACCACAACCTCCGCCTCCTGGGTTCAGGCAATTCTCCTGCCGCAGCCTCCTGAGTAGCTGGAATTACAGGCACGTGCCACCATGCCCAGCTAATTTTTTGTATCTTTAGTAGAGACGGGGTTTCACCATGTTGACCAGGATGGTCTCGATCTCTCATGATCCACCCGCCTCGGCCTCCCAAAGTGCTGGGATTACAGGCGTGAGCCACTGCGCCGGGCCCATATTTCTTTCAAGAGAGTGTTAGTCAATTGCCAATGCTGTCAGCAGAGTAGGCTTGTCAGGCGTTGACTATCATTTCACTTAGAAAAAGGTACATAGTTGTAAACACCACTGCACTTGGCGCAGTGGCTCAAGCCTGTAATCCTAGCACTTTGGGAGGCCAAGGCGGGTGGATCACGGGGTCAAGAAATTGAGACCATCCTGGTCAAAATGGTGAAACCCCATCTCTACTAAAGATACAAAAAATTAGCTGGGCATGGTGGCGTGTGCCTGTAATCCCAGCTACTCAGGAGGCTGAGGCAGGAGAATTGCCTGAACCCAGGAGGCGGAGGTTGCGGTGAGCCGAGATTGCGCCGAGCCGAGATTGCGCCATTGCACTCCAGCCTGGGTAACAAGAGTGAAACTCTGTCTCAAAAAAAAAAAAGGTACATAACAGGACAAGTCATCCTTTTTGGTGAGTGTGATTCGGATGCACACTGCCTCTGGAGACCCACTGCCTTTAAACACCTCTGTGTTTTTCCTGAAGTTTTTGCCCCCAAAGCAGGGGCTCTAGCCCTGAAGTTGCCAACAACTTTAGCCACACCTCCTCATGAGGCCCTCAAAATTCCCTCACTCATTCAGGGAGAGCAGAAACCTACTGGTACTCACGTGTGCACCAGTTCTTGCGTCAGACAGCAATGCTTTTTATAAATCTTTTTTTTTTTTTTTTTTTTTTGAGGAGTTTCGCTGCTGTTACCCAGGCTGGAGTACAATGGCGCGATCTCAGCTCACGGCAACCTCCACCTCCTGGGTTCAGGCAATTCTCCTGCCTCAGCCTCCCGAGTAGCTGGGATTACAGGCGTGTGCCACCATGCCCAGCTAATTTTTTTGTATTTTTAGTAGAGACGGGGTTTCACCATGTTGACCAGGATGGTCTGGATCTCTTGACCTCGTGATCCACCTGCCTCGGCCCCCAAAGTGCTGGAATTACAGGCTTGAACCACTGCGCCCGGCCTATAAAGTCCTTTTACAAAGGTTGTCATATTTAATCATCAAAAACAACCTGTCCCAGGCTGGTATAAGAATCTCATGTTACCAGCTGGGTACAGCAGCTCATGTCTGTAATCCCAGCACTTTGGGAAGCCAAGGCAGGTGGATCACTTGAGGTCGGGAGTTCGAGACCAGCCTGTTACTGGTCAGTGTGGTGAAATTCCATCTCTACTAAAAATACAAAAATTAGCCAGACATGGGGGTGCATGCCTGTAATCTCAGCTACTCAGGAGGCTGAGGTAGGAGTGATCACTTGAACCTGGGAGGCAGAAGTTGCAATGAGCCAAGATCACACCACTGCCCTCCATCCTGGGAGACTCTGTCTCAAAAATAAAATAAGAATCTCATGTTAAAGTTGAGACAAAGTAACACAGCTGGTGAGTGGCTTTGCCCGGATTTGAACCCAGGTGTTCCCTGGTTGACTGAGAGAAGCTCATGGGATGTGGGAGTGGGCTGGGTGGGGGTTAGCTGGTGCTAAGTAAGGCCAAGGGAGGAATCCCGGCGATGCTGAGCAGGCTCTGGCTTGCTGCCGTTAATTGGCTGAGGAGCAGTTCTGAACCCCGGCGGCTTGGGCCTGATTCCCTTAGTGCTTTAAGCTGATGGATTCAGTGTTCGAATCAAACACTGAAATCTTCCTTACCAGACCAGGAGGACTTAAAAATTTTTTTTAATAGAGTCACGATCTCACTCTGTTGCCCAGCCTGCAGTGCAGTGGTACAAGCATGGCTCACTGTAGCCTCGACCTTCAGGGCTCAAGTGATCTTTCTGCCTTAACCTCCTGAGTAGCCACCACACCTAGCTAATTTTTTTTTTTTTTTTTTTTTTTTTGTAGAGTTGGGAGCCTTTACTGTGTGGCCCAGGCTGGTCTCAAACTCCTGGCCTCAAGCAATTCTCCTGCCTTGGCCTCCCAAAGTGCTGGGATTAAAGTTGGAAGTCACTGTGCCAGGCCTGGGACTATTTATTTTTAAACCACATTTTTATTTCTTTTTATCTTTAAGTTGACTTATATCTTATCTTAGATTTCTTTTTTTTAAGATGGGGTTTCACCATGTTGGTCAGGCTGGTCTTGAATTCCTGACCTCAGGTGATCTTCCCGCCTTGGCCTCCAAAGTGCTTGAATTACAGGTGTGAGCTGCTGCGCCCGGCCATATCATATCTTAGATATAAAACTCATTTATACCTTATTTTATGTAATTTCAAAAGCCAGGTAGTATTAAACGGTTCATAATGAAAACCAGCAATCCTCTGTTGCCCCTTCTCAGCTGCCAGGCCTGGCTCTCTACAGACAGCCATTTTTGGTTCTTATAGAGCCCCCAAATCCAGGGCAGGGGCCATTAGCCACACATAGCTATGGAGCACTTGAAACAGGGCTTGTCTGAATTAAGCTGTGATGTGTAAAATACACACTGGATTTTTGAAAATTTAGTATGAATAAAATAAAGTAAAATATCTCAGTCACTTTTATATGTAATCAATTACATGCTGAACTGACAATTTTTTAGATGTATTGTGTTAAATAAAATACGTTCTTATAGTTAATTTTACCTATTTCTTTTGCTTTCTTTAAAAAATGAGGCTGGGGGAGCCAGGCGCGGTGGCTCATGCCTGTAATTCCAGCACTTTGGGAGGTTGAGGAGGGTGGATCATGAGGTCAGGAGTTTGAGACCAGCCTGGCCAATATGGTGAAACCCTGTCTCTACTATAAATACAAAAATTAGCTGGGCAGGGTGGCAGGCTCCTGTAATCCCAGCTACTTGGGAGGCTGAGGCAGAAGAATCACTTGAACCTGGGAGGCAGAGGTTGCAGTGAGCTGAGACTGTGCCATTGCATTGCAGCCTGGGTGACAGAGCAAGACTCCGTCTCAAAAAAAAAAAAAAAAAAAAGGCTGGGAATGGTGGCTCACGCTTGTAATCCCAGCACTCTGGGAGGCCAAGACAAGAGGATCACTTGGGTCCAGGAGTTCAAGACTAGCCTGAGCAATATGGGAAGGCTCTGTCTCTATAGAAAAATTAAAAATTAGCTGGGTGTGGTCATACATTTAGCTGGGGAAGTCAAGGCTGCAGTGAACTATGATTGTGCCACTGCATCTAGCCTGGGTGACAAAGTGAAACTCTGTAACAAACAAACAAACAAACAAAAATCAGGTCAGGTGGGGTGGCTCATTCCTGTAATTCCAGCACTCTGGGGGGCCAAGGCAGGCAGATTTCATGAGGCCAGGAGTTTGAGACCAGCCTGGACAACATGGCGAAACCTCGTTTCTACAAAAAAATACAAAAAAATTAGTTGGGTGTGATGGTGAATGCCTGTAGTCCCAACTACTCAGGAGGCTGAGGTAGGAGGATGGCTTGAACCCCAAGAGGTCGAGGCTACAGTGAGCCAAGATCATGCTACAGCACTACAGCCTCGGTGACAGGGTGAGATCCTGTCTTAATAAATAAATATATAAAAATAAGTTAAAAATGTGGCCCCTTAAATGTGACACTTAAAGTTACATATGCAGCTGACATTGTATTTCCAGTGGATAGTCCTGTGTTTCTTCCAGTATTTATATGTGTGTTCCAGTATTTATATGTGTTTTTCCATGGTAAGTGCTTTTCCTGTTGTCTGTTTTCCTGCCAAATTTTAATTAAAAAATATAAAAACTATGCATACAGCATATATGTATAATCCTTTTTCTGAGCACGGAACCATTTGAAAGTAAATAGTATAATGCTTCCCCCACTAAGTACTTCAGCCACTCAGCTCCTAAGACCACGGACATTCTCTTACATAACGATAACATCAATACACTTGGGCCATTTAACATCAATAAAATAAAAGTAGCTGATGTACAGATGATATTCAAATTTCTTCAAGTTTTGACAAATAATCTTTACAGCTATGCTTTTTAGATCCCAGATCTAATCAATAGTCACATATTGCATTTAGATGTCATATGAGTTAGTCTTATTTTATTTTTTATTAAAAAAAAATTTTTTTTCCATTATGGAGACAGGGTCTCACTATGTTGCCCAGGCTGATCTTGAACTCCTGAGTGCAAGTAACCCTCCTTCCTCTGCCTCTGAAAGCGCTAGGATTAAAGGCTCACCACCAAGCCCGACCTGTGAGTTTTAGTCTTTTTTAATGTAGAGCAGTATCCCTGGGTTTGTATTTTATTTTTCATGACATTGATATATGTATGTGTGTATGTGTATGTGTGTGCGTGTGTGCATGCGTGTGTGTGTGTTTTTGTTTTTAGAGACAAAGCCTCACTCTGTTGCCCAGGCTAGCATGCAGTGGTGCAGTAATAGCTTACTATAGCCTTGAATTCCTGGGCTCAAGTGAGCCTCCTGCCTCAGACTTCTGAGACTTCTGGGACTACAGGCGTGCACCACCATGCCCAGCTAATTATTCTCAAGATTTTTGCTAGAGACAGGATCTCTGATCTCCCTATGTTGCCCAGGTTGACTTCAAACTTATGGGCTCAAGTGATCCTCCCCCTTCAGTCTCCTGAAGTGCTGGGATTATAGGTGTGAGCCATTCCTCCCAGCTGATATATACATTTCTAATTGAAAATATTTATTGCTAAAAGACATTGATATTTTTGAAGAGTATATGCACTTGCGTGGAGCCGGCTCATCGCAGCCTGCAAGAGCCAGCTGTTAGCCTCTGTTCCCAGCTCTGCTTTCAGTGATGTCTGGTGCTGCTTTGAAAGTGGCGCTGCCAGCAGTGTCTACCAGGCTCCTCCGAGCCCTCTTCGTGCCATTCTTTTAGCAAGAATACCCCCACTTTTGATATCTGATCAGATTCTGCATTCTCCACCCCCTGATAGCTGAAGTCCTTGACCTGAACCTAATAAAAACCTTGTTAGTCCAGAATCCCCCCTCCTCTTGGCATCTCCTCTTAGTAATTATCCATCCACTGACCCCCTTCACTTGGCCCACTGACTACAAATCCCTACTTGTCCCTGTTGTATTTGGAGTTGAGTTCAATCTCTCTCCCCCAATAAACAGTCTTGGCCTCTGTTGCGTTAGGTTTGAATAAAGACCTCCTTGCCATTGTAACAAGTGTTCCAATTGTTTTCCTCTTCAACAGCAAATGCTACATATCAAGACTCAATTCCCCACCCCCAAGACCCCTTTACCATTCACTAGCACACCACTGAGTTACAGACCAGTTTTCTTATGAAGG